GAGGGAGGGGAACCCGCAAAGACTGAGGCTCCCGCGGCTCCTGCCTCGCAGGAAACGAAAAGTGACGGGGCCCCAGCTTCAGACTCAAAACCCAGCAGCACTGAGGCTGCCCCATCGTCCAAGGAGACCCCAGCAGCCACGGAAGCACCCAGCTCCACGCCCAAGGCCCAGGCCCCCGCAGCCCCCGCAGCCCCCGCAGACGAGGTCAAACCTGCCGAGGCCCCGGCCATGAATTCCGATCAAACCGTGGCGGTGAAGGAGTAACAAGGACAGCCTATGGGAAAAGAGATCACAGCTTCGACACAACCTGTTTCTCTCTCTCTGTCTGTCTCTCTGTCTCTCTCCTATACTAACTTGTTTCAAATTGGAAGTCATGATATGTATTGCCCAAGGGAAAAAAATAAAAAGAAATGAAAAGGAAAAGATGTCCCATCAAAGGAGGGAGGGGGGATGGGGAGAATCCAAATAGTATTTTTGTGGGGAAATATCTAATATACCTTCAGTCAACTCTACCAACCAGTCCTGGCGTTTCGAGGTCAGTGTCTGAAAGTAGTCCGCCGCTAACTCAGATGGGTACCGAATTCTGCAAGGGGAGTAGGGAGCGTTCCGTTTGATTCTGCCCGCAGGGCCCTTCCAAAGGCAATCAGATCTTTATGAAAGCAGTATTTTCTGTGTTTCCTTTTTTTTAATTTGCCGCCTTTCTTCTTTTGATATTTTTTAAATGTCTGTGGATGAATGCCACCTTTCAGACAGCCCACTGAGCCTGTCCACATGTATCTCCATGCCTCCTCCCCAGGTATTTTTGGGAGTAACACACATTCTCTCATCCAACTTAGCCTCCCTAGATTTCTCATGACGAGTTAATGCATGTCCGTGGTTGGGTGCACCTGTAGTTCTGTTTATTGGTCAGTGGAAATGAAAAAAAAATAAAAAATAAAAACGTCTGCGTTCATTGCAGTTCCAGTTTCTCCTCCATCCTGTGTCACAGACACCAATACACCACTCATTGGAAAAATGGGAAAAAATTAAAAAAAATAACAAAAAAATGTACAATGGATGCATTGAAATTATATGTAATTGTATAAATGGTGCAACAGTAATAAAGTTAAACAATTAAAAAAAGAAGTAATGATGACGATTGGTTTTCTTTTGCCACCCCTTCCTCCTCGGTAACCTCAGGGGAGCACAGAGCAATGTATCCGGCATTTTCTGGAATATATTTGCATAGAAGTATAAGATGGTCTCCTCAAATTTTTGTGAACATTACTTGTTTAAAAAATTAGTTGCATCAGTGTCAGTACGTTGTCTTGGAAGAGGATAAACTGAAAAGATACTATGTCTATGGGTAGGCACCCTATAGAAGTATGGGTGTGATTAATTTACTTCAAAAGCAATATTTTGAATAAAACAAGCGAGTGACAATAGATTTGATCTTGAAGGTTGGGAAGAAGAGAGTCCTAAGACCTTACAGAAACATCGTATGTATGTAAGTGGTGTTGTATTCCTTTATTCATCATATTCATTCGTGATAGAGCCTGGAAAGGGGCCCCGAGTGGTGAGCAGGCAGTGAGGAGCAGCAGTGTGGGAGCAAGCACAGAGCTGGCCTTTAAGGTGACCAGGTTCCTGTCCAGGCTTTGCCACTCCTGTATGGTGTTTAAGCCACTTCTAACCTCCAGGCTTCCCTGCTTTATCTACAAGAGGGCAAAGGCTCTATGACCTCTTAGGAAAGACTCCTTTCAACTTTTGAAATATTGAGTTGTTTGTGTGTATGTCTGGTGGCAATTTTATATTATGACGGATATGTATGTTCTAACAGATAATCACCTCAGAACCCTGATTTATCCCCCAAACTTTGCTCAGTTTGCTCAGGTTTCATAGATTCTGTAGATGGGGAAAGGGTAGGAGAATCGGCATAAGCAGTGGCTTATGGAGGGGCCAGGCTTGCACATCGATTCTTTAATGTAAGAAAAGAAGGAATTGTCACTTAGATGTTGGTAGTAATTTTGTTTTTTTTCTAATTGGATATTAGAAACCAAATCCTGAATATAAAGCATTTAAAAATGAACTTACGCCTAGCCACTGTAAAGGCTGCTCATGCTTGAATCAGTTAAATGTCATGTTTTTGCGGGAGAGTAGGACTAGGCAATAATTGCCCAGTGATAAATTCAAACAATTTATATTCTAACATGGGAACTTTTCATACTTGAACATAGGGAATTTTCTATAGAATGTGAGAAGGGCCACTATACAGAAACTTATTCCCAAAGGGACTCAGCAATACAGTAGATGAGGATGAATCTGAAATTGTTCTTATGCATTACGTTACACATGGTTAAATAAAGGGGAACAAAAATTCCAATTTTGGGGTGACCTGCAGTCTTACCATACCTAAGATGTTGCCAGGGGGTAATACTGGGGAAAGAAGAAGTGAAACATTATTGGGCAGATATACCTGTGGGGTCCAATTCATGACTATGATCACCTTTTGAAACTTTTGGTTCTTGTTTCTATAGTGAAATAAATTTGACCTCTTAATGCTTGAAAGCACAGCATATGAGAAATATGTAAACACAAAACCACCAAGCAACTGTTTTAGATATGAAAAACAGCAGAGGACTGTCCAGATTATTACCAGTGTGTCCCAGCATATATAAAATAGCTTGGGGGTGTGTTGGTGGGTTGGTGGTGGGAAGACAACAGATTCAGTGAACCATGGAGGACATTTATACAGTTATTAACATTGAATAGCATGCACTTTTTGCAAGTAAATGTGCTTGGTGAAAGTAAAGTGTGATATATCCACTGTCTTTTCATTCACTTCTTTTAATTAAAAAAAATCACTAGACGTTTTGGTGATTACAACAATCAAATCAGCCTCCTGGATTAACATTTATTACTGTAAATTACTGTTTAAGGATGAATGAAACTAAGACATTTTTCTTAGTTTATTTACACTTAGAATTATTGAGTTGGGTATAGGAGAATTAAAATCTGAGCTATATATACTTTTTCTTTTACAACTATTAGAATTGTGTTCAAACAAGAGTACATAAATGTGGTCACCAAAATATTTAAATCAGAATTTTAACCTAACCATGGCTCATGACATTTAATTTTACCACACCTGAGAAAAACAGATGTAATTTGAAATTGTATATTCAACAGAGAATGTCATATGCGTGGGTGATAGGTTCAAACAGTGTTGGGCATTCAAGTTAATTTTGGATTAACCTAGATTGTGCCCTCCTCACGAATGATCTAAAACGAAGGGAAGGCAATACATAGGCTGTGTTTAACAGGCAAGTCAGCATTATTTGGGAACCCACCACATTTGACCTACTAACTCACAGGTACACATCTCTGAAGAATAAAGGGGTTTCAGGGTCTAACACCTGTGAAGTGCTTGTGAGCATACCACAAGGAGGAAATTAACAGGAATGGGAATGAGCTTGTTCATAACTAGCTTTGTCTTTCCACCTTGAAGGTGCTGTCCAGTAGCTGACACTGCCTCTGTGTGATGGGGATGGACCCAAATCCCCAAGGATTGGGATGCACCATGAATCCCAGGATGGCCCTATCTGGGGTCAGCCCTAAGAGAAGACATCTTCAGTTGTCCTGAGCCAGTAAGGTAGAGGTCACACATGGTCACGATGCAGGCGTGCCATTCACCATTCTTGGAGAGTCTCCAGACCCAGGTCTAGTGGACAACAGGGACTTGATCTAGACATTCTTCAGCTGCCTAAGTTGGGTACATTATTAGGTGCCAGCAACTACACAAAGTTTGTTTTCACAAAGCATCTTGAAACTTAATTTTCATTAAATGAAGTATCGAGGAATATTGAAACAATGTCTTCATCAAAACAGATCCACTGTCAGATATGGTTCTGGTACACCTATTTTTTGTTGTTCCTTATACCTACAGGGCACAGCAATTTCATTTCATTTATGAGGGGGAAAATCTATTTGTACAATTTACTATTTTGGTGTTATCCAACATCCTGTCTCAGTGTTGATGGGGTTAATCTTCATACTTTTGATTTCAATTTCACTTTTTGAGTGTAACAGTGCAGTTATTTTGAGCTTTATTTTAAACTAATTGGCACAATACTGAAAACTAGATGCTTGGAAGGTCATTTTAAGAATATATCAGCCCTAGCCAGTTTGGCTTAATGGATAGAGTGTTGGCCTGTGGACTAAAGAGTCTGGGTGTGATTCCAGTCAAGGGCACATGCCTGGGATGTGGGCTCGAGGGGGGCATGCAGGAGGCAGTAAATCAATGATTCTCTCTTTTAAAATAAGTTTTATTAATTTTTACAGAGAGGAAGGGAGAAGGAGAGGGATAGAGAGTTAGAAACATTGATGAGAGAGAAACATTGATTCAGCTGCCTCCTGCACACTCCCTACTGGGGATGTGCACGCCATCAAGGTACATGCCCTTGACCGGAATTGAACCTGGGACCCTTCAGTCTGCAGGCCGATGCTCTATCCACTGAGCCAAACCAGTCAGGCAATGATTCGCTGTCTTCATTGATGTTTCTATTTCTCGCTCCCTCTCCCTCCCTCTCTGAAATCAATAAAAAAATATATAAAAGGATATATATCAAATAATAGTTGTGGGATTAGTCAGATGAACTTTTATATGCATCCTTGTAAAAGGAGGCAAAATTTGCTTGAATTTTGGTCTGACAAGTACTTGAGTACTTAATATTTTAAATATTTAGGTGAGAGATTGCTGTTCAGACAGGATGTCTTTTTTTTTATTTTCTGCTAATGGGAATGTAAAAAGGGCAATATAGGAAGCTTTTGATTAAGGTATATATTTGATTTTTTAAAAAGTTATTCCTTATCATGAGCTTATATACTTCATGTCTGTTTAATGATAGAAATTTTATTAGTGTATGAAATCTCCAAGTCTAGGAACCATTGGTCCCATACATTTCTCCAGGTTTTCTCAGTCTTCATTTTAAGAGCAATTTGCATTCTGAAGCTGTATACTTCCATTCACATACATATTTCAGCCAACTCCTAGAGCGAATATCTTTTTGAAAAATACCTATGATCTTGAAAAAGAATACTGCGTTTAACTGTACACATTGAAATAGAAAAAATTAACAATATCATATACCTCCATCTCCTCTACACTTGATCTTCAGATTTTCCCAAGATCCAAATATCATCTTTGTTCCTCATTTTTCTTTAAAGGTGTTTTTTTTTGTTTGTTTGTTTCCCCCGAGTTTGCCCCTGAAACCAGGGAATTTCACCTTTAATAGTACCCACTTATAAATTAATTGGCCTGATATAGTGTATCATTTCCTTTGTTTTAACTGAGGTAAATGGTCAAAGGACAAAATGATGGAGCTACCTGCACAAATTTAGAATTAGAGATAAACGTATTTGCTTTCTTCACATATGCTTTTGCTTGTATAGGCCAGGATTTAAGAGAGTAAGCCTGGGGAAAATATATCCACTTCTAATACACTTTTGATAATCAAAAGAATGGGGAAGGAAAATGCAAACCCAAACCCTCCACCCTTAAAAGGACAGCAATCCTCTTCATGGAAGGGAAAGACTACATGTTGGCACGTTCCTGACAGAAAGCTCTGTTTTGAGATTTGCCGTGAAAAGAAGGGGAGGGCATGTCTGATCATAAGAGCCTGTTACGCAGGGTCGGGTGATTTGATCTGACAGGTGAACCCCGTTAAAATTGCCGAGGAGAAGGTCCTGGAGCAGCAGTGAATAGTTTTCAGCTACTCTGCCTGGCGCAGGGCTAAGAATAGAGCTGCCTCTGGGCCGGAACCACCCCCGGCAGCACACCAAGTCTGACTAGTATGCAAATTCCCCACGGGGTGGTGTGTGTGTGTGTGTGTGCAGGAGCTGAACTTGCTCTGATATTCAGAGCAGATTCTACCTTTTCAGAATAAAACACGCATACACAAAATAGTGAAAGTACAAAACCCAAAATAATATAATTAGGAGACAAACTAACTGGAGTCCCTCAGAAAATAGCCGCTTACATTTCTGATGTTAGTGGAACTTTATTGCAATGTTTTTGTCTTTTATTTCCTTCCTTCCTTATTTTGTTTCCTGGACATTTTATCTTTCCCATCAAGTCTTCTATTT